GCTTGTGCCTGAGCTGCAGGTGTTTGGCAAGGCTACAGCCTGGGGAGGCTATGGTTTCTCCTGATGAAAATGAGGGATGAAGCAGGAAGCTTGGAGAAGTGAGATGGGGTAGGAGCACGCCTGCATGGTGGAAAACGCTGCCTACAAATCAGGTTCTACTTTGCCCAAGAAGAAACATCCCTGGGGGGTGGTTGTGCTGCAGAAATGGGAGCGATGGGCTGGAGAGGGGAAGGTGGACCCTTAGGAATAGCTGGCAAAGGTCAGAAGAAGGGGGATCCACATTCAGCACACCAGGATGGAGCACGGATGTCTCACCAGGTTGTTCTCCAGGGGCAACTCGGCCAGAGGGTCAGCTTGGGAATTAGTGTCTGCAATGGAGAGAGCAGGGCTGCAATCCCAAATCAGAGCCTCTGGAGCTCCCACCCAGCCCCGGTACCAGCCAAGCCAGGAACAACCTGCCCGGTAGCGGCCACAAGGAAGGGGCAGCTCTGGTCTCCTTACCCTTCCCCAGCCCTTTGGTTAGGGATGGCCCAAGGGTTTAAGGAGCCTCTCAGGGGCCAGAAATCGGCACCACCAGAGCCTGTTGTATTTATGGGACACCAAAAAGGGGCTCTGGCCATACCAGCAAGGGAGCAAATGTTGGTCCCGGTGGAACTAAGCACCCGACAAGAGTGAATCTGGGGAAGAGAGGTGGCGCTGGGCCCTGTGGGACCCAGAGCCGGGTGCTGGCCTTGAGCTGGCCCAGGTCCCCGCTGCCTGTGGATGCATCCCCACTGCGAGTCCTCACCTGGGTGCCCCATGACGCGCTCCACCAGCGCCTGCAGCCTGGCTCTGCACTCGGCCAAGTCCCCAGCCTGCGTCCTGCCCCTGGCCTCCGGCGGCTGCAGATGCTGCAGCTCCTGCAGCGCGCCCTTGATGAAGGGCTGCATGTCCATCACCTCCTGCTCCGTGGCGTACAGGCCCATCTTCTCCACCAGCCGCTCGCCCGCCTCCATGCGCCGCAGCACCCCCTCCACGCGCTGCAGCTCCCGCGCCAGCTCCCGCCGGCCCTGCTCCTGCCGCGCCTCCAGCATCCCCAGCAGCTCCTCTTCCTCGCGCCGCAGCTCCCGCACCAGCTGCTCCACGCGCTGCCGGATCAGCTCCCGCAGCTCCCGCTGCGCCCGCTCCAGCCGCGCCGCCTCCTCCCGCAGCGCCGCGCACGTGGCCTCGAAGCCGCCGCGCCGGTGCCGCAGGGCGCGGGTCACGGTGCCCAGCTCCTGCTGCCGGCGCTGGGTCTCGCTGCGGATGTCGCAGAAGGCCGCGTGCCGGCTGTCCAGCAGCGCGCACGAGCAGCACAGCGCCTTCTCGCACTGCTGGCAGTAGATGCTGCGGGGACAAGCACAGCCACGGCGCCAGCTCGCACCCTGCCCCGCGCACCGGCACCTCCGCCACCCGCACCCCCGGCACCGAGGAGGCGCCGCGCTGGGGACGCGCCCGGCTTTAGGCTCCCCCCGGGCGGGAAGCAAGACCCGGGGTCACCCTGCGCGGGCTCCTGCTCCTCTGCCGCGCCGGACACGGCCGCTGCGCTCACTGCGCAGGAGCTGCGGATGGGAGGCAGCCGCCCGCACGCTGCAAGGGCCGTGAAGGAAGGGGCTCTCTGCCCCGCCGTGAGCGCTGGCTGGGGTTACGTATGAGAACAGAAGAGCAAAGAGCGTCTGATCTCCAGGAGACGCCTGAGGCAAGAATATAACAAGTGGCGAGGGGAGATCATCGTCCGTCCCTTACCCACGTCCCGCGAGCCTTGGGAAGCAGCGGCCTAGGGACGCAGGGAGGCAGGGATTGCATCACGCCTGGCACCGGTGCTGGCCTCCACAGACGCTCCAGCCCCTTCCCCTCTCGCTTGGACTTGTCCTTGAGGACGTTTAAACCTCGTCCTGCGCTGCACCCCTGCTGCTCCCCAGGTCCCCTCCAAGCTGGCCTGGCACCAGCAGCCAAGCCCACCCTCCTCTGCCGTCCAGCACAGCAGTGGAGCAATAGGCCTTCTTCTTGCTGAGCTCCACCAACCTCATCCTCCTTATCCTAGCAAGGAGCACCCCACACACTCCCCTCCTTTGGTCGACCCTGTCCCCACTCTCCCATCACCACCTTGAGCCTGGCTGCATCCAAACCCTCCCTCCATGCTCTGAAGCCCAGTTCTTGCAGCACGTGCTGGCAGGAAACGTGAGCATCTTTCAAAGCCAATTAGTGAGTGGTGGGAGGAAAGCGTTTCCACTGTGATTCCACTTCCCAGGGGGCTGCTGAGGAGTTGAACAGGAGTGGAAACTGAGGCACGGGGCAGGGAACGCCTTTGCCTTGCACCATCAGCTGCAGGTGTGGGCACGAAGCCTGGTGTTCAACCCACCTTTGCTGCCTTCCCTCCTCCTGAGACCTGCCAGCCCTGTATCACACCCTGCTCCTGCCCAGTATCTTGCCAGGTTGCAGAGGTCCCTTGCCAAAGGCAGGCGATGAAATCATCTTGGCTCTGCCCTCCTGGCAGAGTTCATAGGATCCCAGGCTGGTTTGGGTTGGAAGGAACCTTAAAGCTCATCCAGTTCCAAGCCCATGCCATGGGCAGGGACACCCTCCACTAGAACAGGTTGCTCAGACTCGGCCCTGGAGCAGCAGCCACAAAACCCTTGGTGCAGGATGGGACCTGGGCACAAAGCACCACTCACCTGGAGATGTGCCCCTGCTCAGCGTGACCAGGAGTGGAGCACAAGAGGCTGCAGGACTTCCTGTTGTCTTCCAGGAACTGATGGGCGGACTCAGCACGAAGTTCCTCCACCCTCTTGGCCTTGTGGCTCCTCTTCTTGAAGAACCACTGGTGGTCCTCAAAGCACTTGGTGCAGAGGAACTCCTCGCACTCAGAGCACCACACCGCAGCCGTTTTCACCCGGCACCGGCTGCAACTCGGGCCACTGCTGCTACTGAGCTCCTTGTAGACCTTGAGCCTGGCCTGCAGGTTGATGAAGAGCAGGTTGTCCATGTCGGGAATGCCGCTGGCCTGCGGGATGGGCGTGGAGCACACGGGGCACTGCCCGATGGGTTTGTTCTCGCTCAGGCAGCCGAGGCACAAGGTGTGCAGGCAGGTGAGGAGCTTGAGGTTGGGCGATTCCTGCCCGCAGCCCTCGCAAAGGATGAACTGGAAGTCATCTTCCTCCGCAGCAGGGTGGGATGGGGGCAAGCACGGGGGTGTACCCGGCTGGGCTCCTGTCTCCATGGGGGCAGCAGCGCCATCTCCATCTAGGTGGGATGTGGGGGAAAGACCCCATTGGACCAGAGGGGATGGAGTGGGGCAGGAGGCTCAGTCCCACCCACGGGGGCCATCAGGCCACCCCTGTACAGCCCACTTCACCCCTCGGCTGCAGGGAATCACAGCATCACAGAACCATCAGGGTTGGAAGGGAGCTCTGGAGACCACCCAGTCCAACCTCTTGGACCCCTCGGTGGCCAAGGCAGGGCCACCCAGAGCAGGCCACATAGGAACATATCCAAGCGGGTTTGGGATGGCTCCAGGGAGGGAGAACTCCAACCCCACGCTGGGCAGCCTGTGCCAGGGCTCTGCCACCCTCAGTGTAAAGTGCTTCCTCGTGCTGAGGTTAAGGGAGTGTCTCCCCTTCATCCCGAGGGCATGTGGAAGGCAGCACCTCCAAGGCAAAGGATGCTCTGCTAGGGAGATTCTCTGCTGGCTGCACAGGGTTGTGCTCCCTCCTGCCCTCAGTGTGGGACCCTGGGGGGTGCTCCCCACGCTCCCCAGCCTCCTCCCCTTTGGGCAATTACGGATCTCACAGTTGAGGGGGGAGGCTGCAAAGCGACTTTCCTTTCGCTTTCGCTGTCACCGCCCCTTCCTGCCGTGTGAGCGGGAGCGCAGGGAAGGGATGGGAAGGGAAGGGGGGTCTCTGGCCACGCTCCCCCCCCCCCGATTCCTGCAAACCCCCCGGGGCAGCACCGGGATGCTGGCACCCAAAGGTGTCCCCCTCGTCACCCCCACCCCGGGCCTCCCCCAGCGCGGCAGCGCAGGCAGGAGCCCCCCGAATAGAGCAGGGACCCCCCCCCCGTTACCACCCCCCATGCAACAGCTTTGCACCCTAAAATATACCGCCCCCCCCAGCAGGCAAACCCACGGCAGCGTTTGAGGGGGTCTGGGCCAGGCTGTGCCCCCCTCCCCATCCCGCCTTCCCTTCCAGGAAAGCGGGGACCCCCCCCCCTCCCCTTTACCTGCCGGGAGCCCGGGGCCGGGCGGCCGGGGGGCAGCGGGGCTATCGGCCATGGGAGCGCCGGGGCAGGGCTGCGAGCACCCAGGACTTTCGTGTTCCCGGTCGAGCTGAAAGAGGAGGAGGAGGAGCTGGAGGGAAAAAGGCGGGGAAGGCAAAGGGGGGGCCAGGAGGGACGAAATGGGGTGCTGGGAGGGGGGGAAGAGGGAGCCGGGATTCCCCGCTCCCGGCCGGGCACTGCACGCTGACCTGCCTGCTCCTGCCTTCCCTCTGCCTGGGGTGCTAGCACCGGGGGTGCTGGTACCGGGGGATGCTGACACCAGGGGGATGCTGGCACCAAGGAGAGGGGGTTCAGATGGCAAAGCTCTGTCTCATCTACCAGCTAGGCCCCCCCCAGGCTGTCCTGGGGTGCATCTCGGGGTGCCAGCTTGGTTCCAAGCGCAGCCGCTGTGTGTGCAGCTGGGTCTCAGGCCCCTGCTTCAGCCAAGGGGGGCTTTAAGCCAGCCCTATTGTCACCCCCTTTCCCTTCACAGCGCTGCTCTTTGGCCTTCGCTGCCCTTTGCAAGCCGGCAAGATGGAGTAGGGGGGGCTTTGGCACGGTGAGAAGGCCGTGCCGGAGAGGGAATTGCTGGGAAAAATACCCCCACTGCTTCCCTGCGGGGCTCGGTACCCCCGGAGCCCCCTCCCCGGTGACCATGCAATGGAGGACCCCGTCTTCACCACGGAAGTTCCCGGGCAGGGGCTCTCTGGGAAAACTCACCGAGCCGTGAGCCGTGAGCCATGAGCCCTTTCGTCCCTGTGCCGTCAGCAGCCACATGACAAGCGGACCAGGAAGCGTTAGCAGCAAGCTCCTTCCCTACACAGCGTCCCCACCACGGCCTCCGGTCCCCACGGACACCCCTGGGGTATCTCCCAGCTCCAAGGGGGTGAGATTCTGTCTCCCGGCTCGGCTCCTGCGTGCCGGGAAGATGGGAAGCTCCAGGCTGGGTGAGAGCCCAGCAAGGAAAGCTCCTGAAGGATGTGGTTTCCTCTAGCCAGCATCCTCCGTGATAGGAGCAGGGTTTGTCAGCTCCTCTCCGGAGCACGTCAGGTCTCCAGGCAGGGACGCTGGGTTGGACTGGGGACAGGCAGAAGCCATGCTGGCTGCAGTGCTGGGAGCACAGAGCTGGGCTTAGGATGCTCTGAGCACCAGCCCAGTGCAAAGCACCTGCACCATGTTCAGCCGGTCGGGATACCAGGCCCTTCCCCTGGGAGACTTTGACCGCTTCCAGCAGTCCAGCATTGGGCTCTATAGTGCCCAGAAGGGCTTCTTCTCCTTCGGATCCAAGCAAGACTCTCTGGGGCCAGCTGGAAATACCACAGGTGAGTCCCAACCTTAGGAGGTGTGTTGCTGCTTCTCTCCCTATTGCTGTAGGGTGTCCCACTGGCTGGGTGGCCCCTGCGCTTCCCTGGGGTGCATGGGGGAGAGGCTTGGACTGAGGGTTCACAGGCAAGGCAGAGGGGTTGGAGCAGGTACATCTCCCTTTCACCCCACTGCAGAGTCCTCCCAGGGTTGGCTGTCCTGGATCTGCCATGGGATTATCACCTCCTTGGTCTTCTTGCTGATGGTTGTCACCTTCCCCATCTCAGGCTGGTTTGCCTTGAAGGTAAGGGAGGAAGGCAGGGCAGGAATGGGATGACAACCCATCCTCCGCAGGGAGGACTGCTCCCAGCTGCCCCTGGTCCCTTTGGCACCGCAGGACCCAGGGCTTTGCTTCAGCCCTGCTCCAAGCTTTTCCATTGCAGATCGTGCCCACCTATGAGCGAATGATCATCTTCCGCCTGGGCCGCATCCGGGCACCGCAGGGACCTGGCGTGGTCCTGCTGCTGCCCTTCATCGACCACTGGCAGCGAGTGGATCTGAGGACAAGGGCCTTCAACGTGCCCCCCTGCAAGGTAAGCGGCCACGGGCTTCAGGGCAGGATGGAGAGACAACTACCCAGAGCACATGGATTTTGGGGTGGTCTGACCCTTGGTGCCGTGCATGGACCCAGCTTTCAGTTCCTGCTCGGGTTGTAGCTGGTGCTGTGAAGGGAGAGTCCTTACCTCTCTGCAGCTGAAAAGTTCCTCTTGACTTTGCATACCTTGTTCAATGGGCGTTCCTGCCTGCAGGCATCTCAAAAACATCCATCCCTATCCTTTCCAGAGGTCTTTTAGTAACAGCCCTGTGCTGGAAACTGTCCTCACCATTCAGACTAGCCCAAACTTCATCATTTGAGTTGGTTTCATTTCCAATGACCTTCTCAAAGAGACCTAGAGCTGCTTGCCAGCTGGGGAAGAAGTGAATGCCTTTGCTCCCAGGCTCTGTGCACAAGGGCTGGGCAATGGGGCAGAGAGGAGAAGAGATCCTGACCCCTCTGCCCCAGCTGACCTCCAAGGATGGGGCCGTCATCTCCATGGGTGCCGACGTCCAGTTCCGCGTGTGGGACCCCGTGTTGTCTGTCATGATGGTGAAGGACCTCATCGCGGCCACCCGGATGACGGCGCAGAACGCCATGACCAAGACCTTGATGAAGAAGAGTCTCCGTGAGATCCAGGTGGAGAAGCTGAGGATCGGGGAGCAGCTCCTGGTGAGCACTGCCCCAAAGCCTTGGGCTCTTGGTGTGAAAGTAACAGCAAGGGAAAGATGGAGCTGCTCCAAGTCCATCTGGCCATGGACCTGGCCAAGGAAGGGAGCTGGGAAAACGTGCTGATTAGTGGGAAGCAGATATCTTCAGCCTGTGGAGCTCTGTGTCTTGTCTCTAAGGGCTTTTTGGCCACAGAGAAAAGCCCACATGGTGTTGGCAGGCTTGAATCTGACCCCCATATCTCCACCAAGAAAATGCCTGGAGGGCTGCAAACTGGGAGGGCAGCAGGACAGTGTTGGCAGAGGGGTGATGAGTCGTGCCTGCAGCCAACCTGGGCCAGGCCAAGATCTTGTGTGCTGAATGTCTCCAAGAGATTAGATATCTTATTATATAGGGAGCACCACAGCAGGATGTGTTACCCCAAGGGAAGCAAGGAAAGGGCCAGCCTGGGAGGGAGCCATGGAAAGGGGAACAAGACAACTGTCCTCCCTGCCCTGACCTCCTCCATGCCAGGACAGCAAGTGGGGGAGCAGGGTTGAACGTAAGCATGGACAGCTTGGAGGAGCTGCACTATTGAGCCTGGTCCAACACCTCACATCTAAAGCTGGTGGGTAGCAGAAGTATAAGCTATTGGATGCCCATGGTTGGATTGATTGCTATGGTTGGATGCTCTCCATGGCCTTACCCAGCTCTGCTCTGTGGCCTCTTACCCAACACGTCTCCCTTTCTCCCCGGCTCTGCAGCTGGAGATCAATGACATGACCAAGTCCTGGGGCCTGGAGGTGGACCGTGTGGAGCTGAGCATGGAGGCTGTGCTGCAGCAGCCCCGGGATTGCCCTCTGGCCGCTGTGCCCCCCGTGCCCGGGCTGGATGGCACCATTCAGCAGCTGGCTGCCCACTTCTTCAGCAGCGCCCTGGCTGGGGCAGGCAGCGGGACCGGCGCTCCAGAGGCAGGTAATCGATCTGTGTCTCTGCTTGGGACATCCCTCCTGCCCAGTGAGCCCGTGTGCTTTGGCTGTTCGACACAGAAGTCAAAATCTGGGGATACCATGCTCCTATGAGCACAAACAGAGGGGAGGAGAGAGGACAGCTCTGGGCACAGCTCCAAACCTTTCCTACAAGACACTGGGGAGGGCAGGAGCCAGATCTGCAGGAGACTGGGCTCAAAAGCAGCTCAGTTCTGAGTGTTCCCATCAGGCAACCCCAAGCCTCAGCTTACCAAGAGTCACAGTGAGGGCAGCGTGGGTTTGTTGGGGTTTTTTCCAGAAGCCATGCACCAGTTTGTGTCCTGCTGTTTCTTTCAGTGATAATTTTCCACCCCCTGGTAGCACGGGAAGAGTAACCCGTGGCAGACAGTAGGAAATGGCAAAACCAGTGGTTGTCTTCTTGCTTAGCTGAAAATGCACTGGTTAAGTGGGTTCCTTTACTCTGGAGACCTTCTGTAGTGGGTTCATGCAGACCAGCAAAGCTCACCACCTCACAGGGTACCCTCTGCTGTCCCAGTGTTCCCAGCAGACAGCGTGGAGACCGTGAACGAGACGGAGCCTCCCGCCGCTCCCCTCCTTGCCAGCAGTGCCCAGAGGAAGCCCAGCACGGATGAGCTGCTCGCAGCAGTGGAACCCATCCTCTCTGAGGCCCTGGTCAGCCAGGTGGGAGCATCCTACCAAGTCAACATCGCCCTGCCCAGCGGCGCCTGGAGCACCTACTTCATAGACCTCTCCTCAGGTCACTACTCGGGGGTTGCTGTGTTGGAAGCAGGGAGATGTGTTGAGCCTGTGCCCTGTTTTTGTGCTGTGAACTCCCAAGCTTGGTGATCAGAGGTCCCAAACTAAGCCCGTTTGGTGGCTCCATGAGAGGCAGCCCAGTGTCCATCAGCTGCGCACTGCAGCTTGGCCCCCACGGCCATGAGTCCTTGCTCCTGAAGTATAATTTGGTTTGGGTTGAAGCCATGATTTTTCCTTCAGAAAGAGAGTACTGGGAGAAGGTTGGCACCTGGGTTTCCTGGTGGCTGAGGCCTCAGGGTTTGTTAGCTGCTGATGCCTCCAGCCTAACGGGGTAGTAGTGGAGGGACATGAGAGGACAGCACCTTGGGCCACTGCCATGCTGGAAGATGCCCTTAATCCATCCCCCCATGGTTGCTGATGGTTTTCCTGGTGGCCATGGCAAAAGTAGGATGAGGCTCGGGGGTAGACCACTGTAACAGGACATTGGTGGGGCAACAGAAGAGACATTTATCTTCATGAGGAGGAAGCACTCCTGTGTCCAAAGTCGCAGAATCATAGCATCACAGACCGGTTTGGGTTGGAATGGGCTTTAAAGATTGTCCAGTTCCAAACCCTCAAGTGGAAGACACCTTCCACTAGACCAGGTTGCTGCAAGCCCCATCCAAGCTGGCCTTGAACCCTGCCAGGCCCTTGTTTGTCATCTGGCTCACGTCAATCCTTATGGAACAGTGGGGGTGAATGCCAGCGGGCAAGGCTGGATCCTGAAGCCCTCTGTTTCTCCTTCTCCCACCCGTTGTGTCCTACAGGCAGCGGCCGGGCTGGCCATGGCGTGCCCGAGGGCATCCCTGATGTCATTCTGGAGGTGGCAGAGAAGGACCTGCAGGACCTCTTCTCGGGTGACCTGCGCCCCTTGGGTGCCTACATGAGCGGGAGGCTGCAGGTGAAGGGCGACTTGCACCTCGCCCTGAAGCTGGAGGAGCTCATCAAGGCGATGAAGCAGCGTAGATAGAGCAGAGCATGCGTGTGGGTGCGTGTCTGTGTGCATGTGTCTTTGTAGGTGTGCGAAGGCAGGGGACATGCAGGGGGGCTGCGCAGCGGGGGCCTTGTCCTGCTGGAGCTTCTCCCTGTGGAGGCTGCAGGAGTCGGTGAAGATGTGAGCAGGGAAACTGAGGCTGAGCTCCATTGCCAGTCCTTGTCGTTGGCTTTACCTCCCCTGCCCATCCTTTGCTTACAATGGGATGAGAATCCCATGAGAAGATGGGATGCAGTTGGCACCCCAGCATGTGCCAGTTTGCTTCCATGTCCCTTGGCCAATATGCCACCAGGGCACAGCCTTGATGTCCCAGTGCTCCCATGATGGGCTGTGTGGCCAGACTGGAAGGGGCATGAACTGAACAGGTTGGATTGAGAAGAGCTTGGGGACACTGTGACCAAGCACAGTAGCCATGGGATGGGCAGCCAAAGCAGGGCACCAGGGCTGGCTGGACCAGGCTAACGGGATACTGGCATCCATGGGGAAGGAGCAGAGGTGGTGATTCTGGGAATGATCTGCCTTGGAGGTCCCCAAACCTTCCTGACACAGCAGTTTGGAACAAGCAATTGCTCTAATTTGTGCTTCAAAGTGCTTTTGCATGTGTGCTGTGAGGCCTGCCCATGGGGCATGTGGACTGTACATAGGCATATATGGATACTTATTTATTTTGTAAGCTTCCTTTCTATCAGCTCTCGATGGACAATAAACCTGGTCTGCAGCCTTGTGCTTGGGCAGTGATGGGCTGATGACTTCTGCACCCCTTGGTGCCTCAGTTTCCCCAAAGGACCACAGGTAAAGAGGTGCTGGCACCAAGGAGGCTGCGTGGTGTAACTCCATCTCACCATATGATCATGATGAAGACATGAAGTCCTGCCACGGTGAGGAAGAGGTGTCAGGATGCTCCGCTGCTGGGGATGCTCAGCCCCAGCAGCACCCAGCACCCAGGGGTTAACATGTCTTGGCAGCTTTACCGGGCCCCAGGGTGCTTTGCTGGACCAGTGGGACAAGCCTGACAGGTTTGTGTCCTGTACAGGCCAGGGACAAGGGGCAAGGAGGATGGAAATGTTTCCAGAATTGAAAGTTTCATGGGTGCAATGAGGTCAAACCACCTCCTGAATGTCTCCTGCAAAGCCTGGGGCTGGGTGGCACCAGCCTAAGCCAAGCTTTGGAGACCCTCCATGCAGGGGAGGTGACGGTAGTGCCCTGCTATGCCCTGTCCCTTTGGGGATGCCAGGCGAGGGGAGTCCCAAGGGTTCCCGGTGGTCCCCGCTCCGTGGTGGTCCCCATGGTGCAGATGTTTAGAGGGGCAGCGATGCCTTGCATGAAGGGGCAAAGAAGATCCAGGACACAGCCCCGAGGACAAAGAGGGATGTGGAAATCTTCCCCAAGGGTGGGGGGACAGTCCCTGACCCCCCTCGCAACCCTTGCTGTGCACGGGAATAGGCTGGCTTCGCGCTTTAGCACGGCTCCCTCTCCCCGCCGGAGTGCGGCAGGGCGCTAGGACCCTGCAGGGCGATGCCGTTCCTTGGCAAACCGCCTCCTTTCGGGGGGTCCCGGGGTGCCCCCGGCTTTCCTGCCCCCGGGAAGGGGCACCCCCGCTGGGAAGCTCTGCTCGGGAAGTGACGAGGGGGGAAGCGGGCTCTGCGCAGCTCCTCCCCGACAAGGAGGAGGAGTTGCGGGAGGCGCGGAAGGAACCGAAAGTGCGGGCAGCGGCGGGGGGGGGGGGGGTCCTGGTCCGGCCCTGCACCCCCCGCCATGCCCGGCTCCGGCACCCCGGTGAGCGCCGGCTGCCCCCGGGGTGGAGCGGGAGGTGGGCTCCGGGTTGCGGAGGGTCCCGGCCAGCAGGAAGCGGTCGGGGAGGTGGGGGTAAGGGTTCTGGGATGCTGCGCCCCATTCCTGCCAAAGCATAGGTGTGGGAGGGAGGGGTGGGGACGGGGGGGACGGGGAGGGTGATCCCACCCTGCCAGGGTGACATCCAGAGGGCTTTGGATCGTGGAATCATGGAATGGTTTGGGTTGGAAGGGACCTTAAAGCTCCTCCAGTTCCAACCCCTGCCAGGGGCAGGGACCCCTTCCCCTAGAGCAGCTTGCTCCAAGCCCCTGTGTCCAACCTGGCCTTGAACACTGCCAGGGATGGGGCAGCCACAGCTTCTCTGGGCACCCTGTGCCGGCGCCTCAGCACCCTCACAGGGAAGAGCTTCTGCCTAAGAGCTCATCTCAGTCTCCCCTTGGGCAGGTTAAAGCCATTTCCCTTGTCCTGTCCCTACAGGCCCTTCTAAGAGTCTCTCTCCAGAACCCTTGTACATGTTTCCTCTGTGCCCCATCCCCTGCATTGCAGCCCCCCCAGCCCCATAGCCAGGAAACTGTCCTGTTGCCTCTTTGCTACAAGGGCTGGAAGTGCTCAAGGCCATTCCATCCAACATTACCACGGTGCTTGGGCCACATCTGGCCTGTTCATAGCGCCTGGGCATCGCTGGTGGCTCAGTGGTAGTTCTAAATAGGGTCTGAGGGTTACCTTCCTCCCCCAAGGTTTAGTCTCATAAACTCTTAAATCTCACCCCTGCACTCACTGCTCTTCCTCTCTCCCTTCCCAAGCTCCTAGAAGATGACTTCCAGTTCATCCTTTGCGAGGGCTGCGGGCAGGAATCGCCCAACCTCAAGCTCCTCACCTGCCTCCACACCTTGTGCCTTGGCTGCCTGAGCAAGAGCAAGCCCATCGGGCAGTGCCCCATGTGCCAGATGCCCATCCCGCAGGCCAGCGGCATTCCCAGCATGGACAACCTGCTCTTCATCAACCTGCAGGCCAGGCTCAAGGTCTACAAGAAGATCATTGGTGGAGATGACTTGTTCTGCGACAACTGCAAGAAACCCAGTGAGTTCTGGTGCTCTGAGTGCGAGGAGTTCCTCTGCACCACGTGCTCTGAGGCCCATCACCGCTATCTGGCGAGCCACGAAGCCAAGAGGGTGATGGACATCAGGGCAGGGTCTGCTAAAGACTTCCTTGAGGGCACCCGGAGGACCAGTAACTTCTGCTGCTCCAACCCGGCCCATAAGAACCAAACTGTAAGGTAGGTCAAAGAGGCCTGTCCCCAGCTGCGTTGATTCTCTTTGGGCTAGTCCCTGGCGGGACTGAGCAGGGTGTCCCTGTCCTTCTGCTGCCCTGGTTTCACCATGCCATGGAGGAGATGGGGGAAGTAGTGACCGGTGGGTTCTAGGGCACAGATGGTTTGGATGGAGCCAGATTCAAGGTGGTGATGGGAGAGTGGGGACAGGGTCGACCAAAGGAGGGGAGTGTGTGGGGTGCTCCTTGCTAGGATAAGGAGGATGAGGTTGGTGGAGCTCAGCAAGAAGAAGGCCTATTGCTCCACTGCTGTGCTGGACGGCAGAGGAGGGTGGGCTTGGCTGCTGGTGCCAGGCCAGCTTGGAGGGGACCTGGGGAGCAGCAGGGGTGCAGCGCAGGACGAGGTTTAAACGTCCTCAAGGGCAAGTCCAAGCGAGAGGGGAAGGGGCTGGAGCACCTGTGGAGGCCAGCACCGGTGCCAGGCGTGATGCAATCCCTGCCTCCCTGCGTCCCTAGGCCGCTGCTTCCCAAGGCTCGCGGGACGTGTGTAAGGGACGGACGATGATCTCCCCTCGCCACTTGTTATATTCTTGCCTCAGGCGTCTCCTGGAGATCAGACGCTCTTTGCTCTTCTGTTCTCATACGTAACCCCAGCCAGCGCTCACGGCGGGGCAGAGAGCCCCTTCCTTCACGGCCCTTGCAGCGTGCGGGCGGCTGCCTCCCATCCGCAGCTCCTGCGCAGTGAGCGCAGCGGCCGTGTCCGGCGCGGCAGAGGAGCAGGAGCCCGCGCAGGGTGACCCCGGGTCTTGCTTCCCGCCCGGGGGGAGCCTAAAGCCGGGCGCGTCCCCAGCGCGGCGCCTCCTCGGTGCCGGGGGTGCGGGTGGCGGAGGTGCCGGTGCGCGGGGCAGGGTGCGAGCTGGCGCCGTGGCTGTGCTTGTCCCCGCAGCATCTACTGCCAGCAGTGCGAGAAGGCGCTGTGCTGCTCGTGCGCGCTGCTGGACAGCCGGCACGCGGCCTTCTGCGACATCCGCAGCGAGACCCAGCGCCGGCAGCAGGAGCTGGGCACCGTGACCCGCGCCCTGCGGCACCGGCGCGGCGGCTTCGAGGCCACGTGCGCGGCGCTGCGGGAGGAGGCGGCGCGGCTGGAGCGGGCGCAGCGGGAGCTGCGGGAGCTGATCCGGCAGCGCGTGGAGCAGCTGGTGCGGGAGCTGCGGCGCGAGGAAGAGGAGCTGCTGGGGATGCTGGAGGCGCGGCAGGAGCAGGGCCGGCGGGAGCTGGCGCGGGAGCTGCAGCGCGTGGAGGGGGTGCTGCGGCGCATGGAGGCGGGCGAGCGGCTGGTGGAGAAGATGGGCCTGTACGCCACGGAGCAGGAGGTGATGGACATGCAGCCCTTCATCAAGGGCGCGCTGCAGGACCTGCAGCGGGCGGCGGTCAGGAGCCAAGCGCAGCCCGTGGGCTTCGCTGAGTGCAGAGCCAGGCTGCAGGCGCTGGTGGAGCGCGTCGAGGGGCACGCAGGTGAGGAGGTGCTTGGCCAGGCGGGCTCATGTGGGGGGGACCGAAAGCAGAGTTGAAGGTTATAATCCCTGGTTAGATCATATTCTCCATGGGTCTCCTTCCACGTGGAGCCTTGATGGCCCTGTGCCTTCAGCCTTTGCTCATGTGATGGGCACAATCCAACCTCTCCCAAGGGTGTTTGGGATGCAGTTGTTGCATCCATGAGTTCCAAATCCACCTTTGTCTCTTGGTCTTGTGGAGTACAGCAGTCCCTCGAACACAGGTTGACAGGGAGGGAGCATGGTGAATTGCTCGGTATGGAGCCATGGCACGGGTTGAGGGATAAGGGAGCTGCGTGGCACCTGGATGGAGATGGGGCACTTGGAACTGGGGCTTACAGAGGCTGCTGTGGCAAGGAGGAAGTGGGTGGAAGGGTTGGGTCAGCTCTGCATCCTCTGTGAGATACGTTTGTGCTGGTGACACCTGCAGGTCCCTCAGGGACCATAAGCACCGTGCTGGCCCATGACCACTTCTGCTCCTCATGTCTCCAGCCCATTTGGCTTTGCTCAACATTTGTCCATAACCACATGTGGGGCAATTCCCCTTTGGGCTGTTGGTTACCACCTCGGGGTGGTGCATCCAACCAGGAGGTGAAATGTTCCCTGGGAGCACTCCCTAACAGGGATGGCAAGAGGTCCACGAGCACTGCTGGGTTTGCCCAGGTCTTCCCCCAGCTCTTTGGCAGCAGCGGTGTGGTGGAGATGCTGAAGGTTTGGGAATGGTGAAGGCCTTGGTGTCTGTTGGTATGTGCAGGGATGGTGCTCTGGAAGATCCGGGTTGGGTCAGAAGGTGGTAGAATCCTTCCAGGAAACAGGCAGTGGGAAGCAGTGGGTGAAGAGACTTTGTGGGGTTCTTCTGCTCCATCCCCCTCCTGCTGTCTTCAGACCTGAGCTATGACCAGTGTCCTCCTTGGCCTGCTGTGGGCATTCGCCACTGAGCTCCCCAGGGCAAACTCATGAGCTCTGGACCATCTGTAGCTCGTGGCATAGCTATGGATGGTCCATCAGCCCAGGGGGGATGTCCTGGTGGGCATTGTCCCTTCACCTCCCCTCTCCACCCCACAAAGCAGGCTGGGAGGACCCCCCGAGCCCTCATTCTCCCTCTTGCTCCCTTCAGCCCCCGTTCCCAAAACAGGTACC